TTATGTTTTGCTTTACATTTGTAATAATTTTTTATGATATCCCTAACGTTTTAAAGTATACTTCAGCCATGAAATTCCGTTTCTTTATATTAAAATAATTTAAATTCATTGTATTATGTAAATTTGTTTTTTTAATCATTTATCATTGTTTAATAAAACTCATACTTATTTAAGTAACTTTACAAACTAAGCTTACTAATTTAATTTTTACCCAATTTAACTGTTTCAAAAGTCAAATTAATAATATGCTATTTTTCTAATTATTAATCCAAACGGAACCCAAATATGTGAAGTAAAATACTGAGAGAGGGCACATACGATGGCGAAATCAACAGACAGGGAGCAAAGTGTGGAAACAAAAAGATCACTGTCATGAGTGGGATAGATCAACTCTCGAAGAACCGCAAATAGTAAAAATTATCTCATTATGTACCCAGATAACTCACCAAAAAGAATTAAACAAACTTCCACTGTTTACAATCAAGTTGTCTAGATTGAACACTAAGAAGCATCTTTAACACCTGGCCAAAGAAAACGAAGTACTGAATGGACAAGAAAAGTGAAAGAAGTAGAACAATAATGGAATAAAAAGGGTTATCAGAGTGGAGAAAAAACCGTGTTCTGCCAAGAGCAGCAGAGCCTCATAATCAGCAACACCGGCGTAATCTCTTAAGTTCCTAAAAGATCAGTCCAAGTCAGGCACTTGAACCGCTGAAGGTTGACCCAAAGAAATCAAAGACGAGAAGCCTTCAAATAAGGAAGAGAAACAATAGGCAAGAGAGCATAAAGTGAAATCAGAGAAAGACCGGACAGAGAATACCTATTCCTGCTCCATCAATCTCCAAAGATTAGAATAAGCGATGATATGAAAAGCAAGGGCAAAAATCGAAGAACCATTGCAGAAATCGATCCATTGAAAAAAGGGCAGAAGTTGAAGAACCGTGTGGATACATTTTTTCTTGGTTTACGAGGAATTCGATACGTTTCGGATGCTCTTGCTAGATCCCATGAGACATACAAGCGAAGCACATGTGGACGGCTAATGCTTGGCGAACCAATAAATAATGGAACCAGAAGACAAACACATGCATCAATAATTGAATGACATGGATCAATAGATGAGGACCACGTGGACCAATTACAAAATAGCTACAAGGTTCATAAGGTTTATATAGGTTATAAAAAAAATTGAAAAGATAAACGTTACAATACAGCAAAAAAATACATTATTTTATATTTAGACTGAAATGATAAATAAAATTCAAAAAATTTAAAATAATAAGTAGAATTTATTTATTAAATGATAATCGCTGTTGTGAAACTCGCGAGTTGATTCTCTGAATTTAACGTTTTTACGTTTTCAGATAACAAAATCATGTCGAATTGTTCTTAAACTCGTGATAACTATAAACTCGGTTAAACTTATGAGTTCATTTATCGAGTTTACTATTTTTACGCTTTTAGCTTACAAAATCATGTCAACTACTCGCTCTTAAATTTGTGCTAAATTTTTTAATTTGATTATGTTTAGTGACTTTATATATGATTTTTATAGAAATTTTTTTGTTGAATATGATAAATTGTGAACATTGATAGATATAATTTCAACTATTTAAATTTAAAATATATTTAAATGAAACTGTTCTTGTTTTTTATATATTAATTATTTGATTATATACTTTTAATATCAGTTTATTAATAAAAGTAAACTCTTACGAGTTTACCATTCGAGTTTACGATCCGAGTTTATATCATTATCATGAGTTTGTTTAAACTCGTGAGTTTGACAACTTTGATGATAATTACAATAACATAAACTTTGGAGAGAAAAAGGGGGTTAATGTAACTTTGAGCCTCTCAAATTTTGTCTTTTTTTTAGTTTTGGTCTTTCAAGCTTCAAACAATAGATTTAAGTTCCTTAACTTTCTTTTTATTTAAAACATTGATCTCTATAATTTAATAAATACTTGGACTATTTTGCCCATAGAGAGACTTAAACCTATGGTTTCAAAATTGAGGGACCAAAAAATAAGGACAAATTTAAGAGACCAAAAATTATATTAACTAAAAAAAAAAAAGCTTGTACTCCTCAATCAAAGCAGCCTGATGTAACATTTTAAACATGAAGAGGCTTTAAAATTTTAACCAAAGGTATACCTAAAAAAAAAACAACAATTTTAATTTTGTTTATTTTAAATCAAAGGTATAGGACCTTAGGGTGTGTTTGGTTGGGGGGGAGGGGAGGGGAGGGAAAATGAGCCCCTCCCCTCATTTGGTTAAAAATTTTGGAGGGGAGGGAAGCTAAAATGTCCCTTCCCCTCCCCTCCCTCCCCCCATTTTGGCTCCCCTCCAAACTAGGGGTTTTGGAGGGGAGCCAAAATTTTGGACCATTATGCCTTTATGGTTTTTTTTAATATTCCACTTCTACCCATAAAATATATTATTATAATATTTATTTCAAATAAAAAATATATTATCCTAAGTAAAAAAAAAAAAAAATATACATTATTATAATTAAAAATATATTATAAAAATTATTTAAAAATAAAATTATTTAAATAAAAAATTATAATATTATAAAATTAATTTTTTTATAAATATATTATTTATTAAATATATTTTAAAGCTGGAAAAAAAGATAGCCTAAAGAAAATAAAATTTCATTTTTCTTAGAGCATATAAAATTTGTTAATTTGATTATTTTAAATATATTATTATATTAATTAGAATGAAAAATTACTATACCAATTTTTTAATACACATATTAACATGATAAGACTGAATTTTGATTAAATTATATAATTTAAATTAAGATGTAAATTAATTTATATAATATATCAATAAAAAACATAAACTAATATGTAAGGGTAAAATGGTAAATTGATTATTACTATCCCTCCCCTCCCCTCCTTGAACCAAACAAGGAATCATTAAATACCCTCCCCTCCCCTCCTTTTTAATCAAACCAAACAAGGTGAGGATGAAACCTCCCCTCCCCCTCCCTACCCCTCCCTCCCCCTCCCTTCCCTTCCCTCCCCTCAAACCAAACCGGCCCTTAAAGTCGTCGTCATTCAAACTTTAGACGTATTTTTCGTTTTTCTGATTACATTGAGGATGTTAATTTGTTGAATATGGACTGTGATTATGCGCACCCTTTTTGGAGAATAGCTTGGAGAATAGATTTTTGGGAGAATAGATTTTGTAAAGCATAGATTTTGTAAAAAAGTAATTTTGATAAAGTGAGAGTGTTTAGATAGTTGTTATCAAAAGCACTTTTTATATGTGCTAATTACTAAAAAAAGACATAAATTAATATGATAATTACCTAACAGATAGATTTTATACTATATTTTAATTTGAAAGAATAAAATTATTAATAATATATTTTTTACCAACATAATTAATGACATATAAGATAATGTAAGTAATAAATAATTAATATGTGTATATATATTTATAAAATATAAGATTAGATATGTATATAAAAAAATAATTGAGGGGTATTAAAGTCATATTATCATTAAAATCTACTATGACAAGCATAATCATACTCTCCAATTTGACCCAAAAGTAAAATGGATTCACTTTTTCTAAAACCATGGTTTTGAGTCCAAAACCATGATTTTGGTCTCAAACCATGGTTTGTTAATTTTGTCCTCTGTTTGGTAATTTTTTTACCCAAATCATAATTTGGAATGTTATCCAAACAGGCCCTAGGACCTGCTTAGATAAAGCGAGATTACTGATTTATGCATATTGGCAGGCTGTGACCAATTATACCCTTAAAGTTGGTAACCCTAAGGCTGACTAGCTTGCCAAGCATTCTCACATTTTACTATTAGAAGGGAATAATTGCTTCTTCTTCTTTTTCTTTTCTTTTATCACGCTGCATCTTTTCTTTTCTGAGATAAATGATGATGACGGAAGCTTATTTCCAGCAATTTTTTTTTCTTTTTGTGTTCTCCGATTGTAAATTAATGATATTTAGTTTTAATTTAAAAAAAAAACTTTAGAAGTTATTAGTAACCAACAACTCAAGTTCAATACAATGGTCCCCATTATGTAGCATAAATATTGCAATGGCATGAATAACAAAATATTTGTCACGAGTACCATGTTGAGAAATCTCAAAAGTGAAATGTGGCTTATAAATTTAAAGAGTTCTCTCCCTTCCAATAAGCTAGTATTTTGGAATAAGCTCTTTCTCTTGGATTTGGAATTATTTTACGCAAGTCATGGATTGGCGGTTGGTACCCTTTCTAAACAAGCACAAAACATTCCTTAGTATAAAAGCAAACGCAGAATGTCACAAGTCAAAACTACCCCTCCGGTCCTTAATATAAAATCTAATTGATAAGTTAATTTTAGTCCTAAATATAAGACCTATTTCTCATATTTGTCAATTTTTTCTAAATTACCCTTATGGATACTCTCTCAACCACAATCAAATAAAAGAGGGAGAAAGGATATTAAGGAAGATGATTATGGTGTTTTAGAAAAAGCATATCATATTTCTTATAATTAACTAACTTACCTAACTTTGTTGATCTAATTAAATTAATTAAATAAGTATTATATTAAGGACCGGACAAGTAATATACATGTGCATGTACGGATTTAACATACAAGTGATGTTACCACATCCCATCAGTAAAAATTTCTGAAGCTTTGTTTGCCTCAACTACTGGCATTCTAGATTTGCTTGTGATGAAACCCAAGCTTAAAGCGAAAAATAAAACCAGAAAGAATCTGGCAGAGTGTAGCTCCAACCAGAAAAGCTACAAAGAAAATAAGGGTTTAGTCACTGTATAGTCACTGGTTCTTGCCATTGGCCCATTAGCTATCCATCAGCTTGCAAGGCAACTGACAACTTCAGTTTCTTTTACAAAATCGAAAGAGTTAATTACAGCATAATAGCCACCTAAACTTTTGGAAGATAGCCGTGCAACTTATTCCACCGCTTCAGTGAAGAAGCAATGTAGTTCAGTAACTCGCAATGCTCACATGTGTGAATCAATCTTTAAGGCGTTGGAACTTGGAAGCTTTTTACTCCTTGTCCTTGGATTGGCATCTTCTAACTGCTTGATAACATCTCTCATTGTGGGTCTCTTGTGTGGATTCTTCTCTGTGCAACTCAAAGCCAGCAAAAGCACTATGGTAACTCGTCCAAGTGCATCTGACTTCAAAACCTCCTCTGCAAGGCTTGAATCAACAATTGTACTAACGGCTCCTGTTTCCCTCCATTGAGTTCTGACCCAAATTCCTATCTCAGTTCCATTCATAAATGATGGATCTACTTCCTTCTTTCTAGTTATCAACTGAAGCAAAATTATCCCATAACTGTAAACATCAAACTCCCTGGTATTTGCTGTTGTATATGTACTCTCTGCCACGGTTTAATGGGAACATGTTATTTTATGCAAGCGTTCAGAAGTATGAAAGAGAAAGAGAAGCTTCACCATGAGTAAAATAAGTACCTGGTGTTATATACCCTTGTGTTCCTGGAACTGCTAAAGATGGTGTTGAAGAAGACTGATCCAAAAGCTTGGCAATACCAAAATTAGCAATGCAGGGATCCATATCAGAATCCAGAAGTATATTTTTAGGTTTGATGGCACAGTGCACTATGGCAGGATGACAATCATAATGGAGATAAGCCAACCCATGAGCAATTCCAACGGCAATCCTATACCGGACATTCCACTCTAGGCATGGCAGTGGATTCTTTTCATGCAAAACATCATGAAGATTTCCATTTGGCATGTAATTGTACAAGATCAGACAGTAGTCCTTTTTAAACAAAAAGTCTAGCAATCTGACTAGATTTGGGTGCCTAATCTTTGCAATGATTTCAATTTCTCTGGCTATCTTTACAATCTTTCTTTTGTTACCAGCAAATGCAACCTTCTTTACAGCATAAACAAGGGATGCTCCCAGTGAATATTTGTAGACAACACCATGAGCTCCTCTGCCAATAATATTTGAATTGTTCAATTTTTCATCGTGCGCCATCACTTTGTGAATAATTGGGTAAGAACCTCTATTGGCAGTGATCTTGACTTCCTCCTTGGGGATTGGAAATAGGAGCATAGAAACGTTTAGAATAAAAAGGAAGAATGGTAGCAACTCAGAATTTAAGGATGCTTAATGAAGAAGATGAACGAGTAAAAGAAAGAGAAAGCACTCAACAATTGTTTTTGATGTTCCAACGTAATTGGTATTACCAAAACAATTACTCCCTCTAGTCCTTATCACAAGACTCCTTCTAGAAGAAATTTTTGGTCCTTTTTATAAGATCCTACGCTAGTTTCAATGAGCATTAAATATTTTTTCCCTCCATTATATGCCCATATTTAACAAGGGTAGTGAGAAGGTAGAAATTAATATGATGTTGGAATTTAGTGTAGTTAATGAGGGTAATATTGCAAATCACTTAAATTTTATGAGAAATTTAATACTTTTAAATGTTTTATCAGTATGTGTGAATTGGTTAGCAATCTCTTATAATAAGGAGCAGAGGGAGTATAAGCTTCACAATAACCTCAGACTCTTATGCTCAGCCTATTCTTTTTGTTCCTTGTAAGGTCTTCTCAAAATAATGCTATTCAAGAGTAAAGCTGGTTTTGCAAAACTATTTTCAACATAATCCTCCCACACCAAAACCCTACTAATTTGAAGAGGAAGTATTTATTGGACACTTTGAATTCATCTGCAAGCAGTAACATTGAGACAAATAATGTGAATTTATTATGGGCTTATGAGCAGTTGTTGCCTGTCTAAATCAATTTACCTGGAAAAATATAGAGGCTGCTGCAGCAGCAAGTAAAACCCCCTAGATGAAACGCTCTGTCATGCTAAATGAAAATTCCTGTACCAATTAGACAAACATAAGACCACGGCCCTTTCAACAGCTTGAATTTCAAGCCAAGATTTCAATTCCTTAAATAAGACGAAGTCATGTTTCATGACCAGTTCAGTTGAGAGCAGAAACCTAACTGGATCAGAAATATAGCAGAAAGGAATCTTGATCGCTGAAAAACTAGAGAATATATATGACACTTTGGACACAACTCCTACCTGGATCAGTGGGCGTTTCAAAGAATTCGATGACATCCCTCATTTTCAGTCTCTTTCCTGGATCTGTCTCAGTACAAATTAGAGCCACCAAAAGCACTTTGATGAATTGCACCTTTACGTCTAAACCTGAAAGCTCCCTTACAAGGGATGAATCAACAATCTCTTCAAGTTCATTCGTTCTCCTCCATACAGATTTAAACCACCCCACCAAAGTGGTTTCCTCTTCCAAAAACGAGGAGTCTAATACTTTCTTTCTAGTTATCAGCTCAAGCAAAACTACCCCATAGCTATATACATCAAGCTCACAGCTGGGCACTACCATACATGCAATCTCTGTCATAAGGCAATGGAAGCATGTTAAATTATGAAGAAATTATACTTCTGATCTATTTTCATTTGCTTTCCTCTGTTGTTAATTCATCATCTGGTTAGATATATTCTTCGTATAGGATGAAAACTATCCCAGTTTTATTAAACATGATAGAAATAGAAAATTAATCCACTGAGTGCAGAACAAGAGCAATTACCTGGTGCCATAAAGCCACGAGTACCTATATGATATGCTGACCGTAGCCGCACCGTAGAAGAGGGTTGATTCAAAGCAATCGAAATACCAAAATCAGTAATACAAGGTTGCATATCAGAATCAAGGAGTATATTCTTTGGTTTGATGTCTCTGTGCAATATGGGGGGATCACAATCATGATGGAGGTATGCTAGTCCTTTTGCAATTCCAATGGCAATTTTATAGCGGACATTCCATGCTAAGTAGGGAAGCGGAACATTTTCATGTAAAACATCATGAAGGCTTCCATTTTCCATGTATCTGCTAATGGTTAGACCATATTCCTCACCAATCCGGGAGCCTAGGCATCTTGCCACATTTTGATGCCTAATCTTCCTAGTCATTTCAATTTCCCTGATCATGTTTGGTTTCCTCCTATTGCTTTGTGCAAATTTAACCTTCTTAATAGCAAAAACTCCAATATCAAGTTCGGCTTTATAAACAATTCCTTGCCCTCCTTCACCAATTATATGTTCATCATGTAGCTGTTCTGTAGCATCTAGTAGGTTAAAAATTCTAGAAAATCCTTCCTCGTTTGAAAACAAATCCTCTTGTCCTTCATGGTCACCATTGACCTCCCCATCAGATATTTGCATAAACCAGCGGATGAGAGTGACAGATGGGAGGCAAATTACAAATGACAACCAAATGACAAGCACTACGAATCCAAGTGCTATAAAGAAAATTGGTTTTTTATTGCCTTTGTGGTCTGTTGATTCAGAGTCGCTTTTGTAACCCGAGACAACATAGAGGCCAAGATTTCCCAAGAAAGATGATGGGGATCCCGTTACCCCTTCTGGTAAAGGACCAAAAAATGAGTTGTAAGATATATTGAATTTTGTTAATGAAAAAAATAAGCTAAGAGCTTGTATGTTTCCTGTCAAATTGTTCAGGGATAAATCCAGGCTTTCAAGCATCGACAAGCCATTAAATGTAGAAGGGATCACACCTGTTAATTTATTAGAACTCAGATTCAACTCATATAAGTGAATAAATGATCCAATTGATGGGCGAATTACCCCTTCAAACATATTTCCACCAAGTTGTAATTCGAGAAGCTGGGCATACTCTGAGAGGAAAAATGGGACAAACCCACTAAAATTATTATCGCTTAAAATTAATCTGCCCAAAACTGTCCAGCTCCTCATGCTTGATGGGAATGTACCATTAAGAAAATTGAATCCCACGTCAAATGTAAACATTTTGGTACAGTACATCAGTTGCAGCGGCAAAGTACCGACTAGATTATTGTGAGCAAGATTCAGAACCTGAAGGTTCAAAAGGTTTCCTAACTCTGAGGGTATAAGCCCTGTGATGTTATTTGTGGACAGAATTAAACCAATGAGATTTGTGCAGCTTCCCAAAGTAGATGGAATTTCTCCACTGATGTTGTTCTTGCTCATGTCCATGTACATGAGATCCTTATTACCTTCAAATTTAGTAATAGGCCCAGAAAGATTATTGTCACTGAGATCCAACCTTGCAAGAGTTGCACATCTTCCCAAATCTGGAGGTATGCCCCCTTGAAATTGATTATGACCTAAAAGCAGTGTGCGGAGTTGCTTTCCAAAACAAAGATTTGGGGGGATGCCACCAGTAAACTGATTATTCATCAAGTCCAGCTTCACTAAACTGCTATTGATTCCCAGGCTTTGAGGAATTGGTCCAGAGAATTGGTTGTCAAACAATGAGATGTTTTTCAGATGCTTGAGTTCTGTCATCTCTGAAGGTAATTTCCCTGAAAGGCTATTGTTATGAAGAAGGATATGCTTAAGACTCTGAATCTTCCAAATGGCAAGTGGAATTTCACCAGTCAAGTGGTTGAAATACAATTTAATGTCCTCCATTTTACTTAGGCTTCCCAATTCATTTGGAATGGCTCCTCCGAGTTGATTGGAATATAATTGTAACGACTTCAAAGATTTGCAATTACCAATTTCTGAAGGTATATTTCCTGACAAATGATTCTCAGAAAGATCAACGTACTCAAGCAGACGACAATTACATATCTGTGGGGGTATTGTACCTGAGAAACCATTTGTGGCCAACAGAAGTTTCTGCAAGTGAGTCAGCTGTCCGATTTCTGGCCCAAGGTGACCAAAAATCTGAGATGCGGTGAGGTTTAGAAAGACCACATTCTGGTAACGGTCACATTGTATCCCTGGCCATGAACAAGGGGTAGAATCAGAGGACTTCCATCTTGAATTTAAGGAAGGAGGCACGGAAGTCCAGCGTTTCAGTAGTGATAATAGAGTCAACCCATCCAAACTCAAGGTAGAAGTACCATAGAAAGAAGCAGACCAGCATAGGATAAATAATAGCAGCTTCATTGAGACTGAGATAGCAAAGGTTAAAGAAGAACAAAAAGTGCTTACTTTGCTGCAGCTTAGAACAAGTGCAAGTAATTGCAGAGGTGATGAAATGCGGAGCAGAGCAGGTTTCAGAGTAAAATCGTTGCTGGGGTCTTCTTTTCATCCATCACTCTTTGTTCCCCCTTGTTTTTGGGAGATTCTATATCAATGACATTTCTTTTTCTTGGTTCTGCAACATGCCCCATCTTCCACGCTTATCATTTTAGCTACCAATCGAAATGTGCCAAGCCTGTTTCCTTGAACTTTCGCGGGAGGAATGCACACAGATACTCACACGCATGCATGCACCCATGAATATGTGTGTGTTTTATTATCTAAATAAAATGAAAGATAAATTTTACAATACAGTCTTTTATAGCTAGAATGATATGAGAAATAGAAACAAAGTAGTTTTGAAGATAAAAAAGTATAATCTATTTTACATGGGAAAAAAATAAAATATCATCAAGTAATAACTACATTAACCTATAAATGAAAAATGATTGTACTCCCCACAAAAAATCCTAATATATTCTTGTGGTCCTATTTACAAGGTAAAGAGAGATTTTTTTTGTCTTATTTATAAGTTACCTAATTAAATTTTTAACATGAATGTATTGTTTTGTCATTCATTTATTATAGCATAGATAATTATTTTTTAAAAGATGTATTTATTAAATAGAGATAGAATTGGAAAGTTGTCATATTTTAAAGAGAGTTAATCCAGTTTAAGATTTTTTTTAATATATATTAAAATATACTAAAAATACCCTATAAATAAGATCAGAGGAGCAACACTTAAACAAGCAAGGGTGTAAAAAATTTTAACCAAAGGCATAGAACCTTAAAGTTGGAGGGATTTGAAGGAAAAGTGTAATATTTTGTCCTGTTCTACCTCATATATCCATAATTATCTTTAGTATTTCCAAATTACCCATCCTATTCCTTTCTTAGTTACTTTTGTCCTACTGCCTGTTCTCACTGCCCACACTCTAACTCCATTGCCCTCAACCTGCGGGGGGAGAGATTAATACATTTTCCCCCTTTTTTTTGGCTCAAAGGAAGAGATTAATAATAAAACAAATCAAAAGAGTAAATAAAAAAAATTGAAAATTTTGTTCACGAAAATAAGTTCAAGAGATAGAGAGAGTTTCTTATGCATGTAGCGTTTGGTACTTGACTTTTTTGAGAGAAAAAAGAGATGAATTTGACCAATTTAATAATTATAAAATTATAATTTTATATATTAAATATTACTATAATTTATTTATTAAATATTTTACGAGTTTGAAAAATACAATTTAAGTAAAATAAGAGTGAAATTATCTATATAAAAATATTTTCTCTCCCCTCTCCCCCTAACCAAAGAAGATGACATCAAATCCCTCCCCTCCTCTCTAATTAATTCAAACAAGATAATATTAAAACATAATGAACTAAGGTTTAAATTCCCGTTGGAAAAGATACTCACATTTAATACTCGATAGTACCTCTAATAGGATTGTCTCTAATAGGAGGATACCTATGTTTTAGTTTAAAAAAAAAATTATCTTCCCTCCTCTCACCTCGCCTCTCAAATCTCACCTATTAAAATCCCTCCCGTCTTCATCCCTTGATAAACAAGATTTCTCTAATAAGTCACTTAGTTTCGTTTTCTCCAAGTCTAACAGACTCTTCGGAGTTTGGCTGGTCATAATAAGTAGAACCCAGAGTTCACACAGACGGTCCCTACTATAGTGACTAACGTGGAAAAGAGGAAGCTTTCACATTGGATTGTTGACTACTTGGTTGATGTGGATTAAAATAGATATCCCTGTCAATGCCTCTCCATTTGCCTTCCTCAATCCGAAAATTTTAAAGTGACATCCCACTCTTCTAATAGGGCTGCCTTTACTCCACTGATCAAGATATTACCATTTTTCCCCATCCCCTGTGTCCTTGCGTAGTTGGACACCCTTTTTTTTTTGTACTGGTTGATTTAAAAATTATATATTAATTTATAAGAGTGGTGGATTAATTGGGAGAAAAGATAGATATAAACACTTTGAGATAATTTATTAACTTCTTTAATCTCTTCAAATAAATCAATTAGATCTTATATTAAATATTAAAGATAATATATAAAGAAAATATGCAGGTGCGTTCAGGTGCATGCATATTTCTTGGGTCCTTGTGCGATGCAAATCGCTATTACTTTATCCGCCATTCATGTATTTGTTAAATATATCATGATTTCCCCTATTTGTTTTATTTGTTCTTTATCTTTCCTTCTTTTCTCTCGGCTAACATTTTGTGAACCAAATGAACCCTAATTCTATCCATTGGGAAAATAAATCTTATCTAGCCAAAATAAAGGATAGTAAATCTGAAATGGCCAAGGATATTTCACACGATTTTTAGATATCTAACTTTAGAACAAGGATTAGAAAGGTACAATAACAGAAAATATATTCTTTTGAAATTAAAAATAAAGCAAAACAAGTAATTTTATGGATAAAAAACTATTATTTTTCCATAAAAACAATAAATTTATTGAATACTGAGGGAAACAACATTATAAACGGGGAAAAAAAAATTCCTATCGTTATCAAAGGAGCTTAATATAACATTTCTGACAAACAAGGGCAAAACATTTCCAACGAGAAGACAGAGCATACAAGAACTTTGAACTAGTCACCAAAACAACCGAGACTGTTGTCATAATAAAACAGAGTAATTTAGAACCTCTGCTCAACAAAGATTTGCCCTGTTATGTAGTAATATTGCAAGAGCATAAATAACAGAGATATCCCCTTCAAGCTACTGATAGGTCATGGTGGGTAGTCCCTTTCTTTTCCCAAAATGGTTCTTTGAATATCTCCTAAGAAGTCAAGAAAAAGGCACAAAACATTCCCCATCATAGAAGCAGACATATCAAGTCCCGACCTATATATACAAGCAATGTCATCTCCCCAATTCTAGTGCATGTGTGAATCAATTGCGCATTAAGTAGTTTGGAACTTGGAAGCTTTTCACATCTTGAGATAGCCATCCATGTCTTTTTTTTTCTTTCTTTTTTATTTTCAGACTCTGTTAATTCCTTCGTACTTTTGAATTTGAATTCAAAACCGACTAATTGATTGATAACATCATTCATAGTGGGTCTCATTTGTGGATCCACCTCGGTGCAGCTCAAAGCCAAGGAAAGCACTTCAGTGACCTGTTTGAGTACATTGGAATTTGAATTCAAAACCTCCTCTGCAAGGCTTGAATTAACAATTTTATGAATATCTCCTGTCTCCTCCCCCAGACCGACCCAAACCCCTATCTCAGTTCCCCCCATAAACGATGAGTCTATTGCCTTCTTCCTGGTTATCAGCTGAAGCAAAACTATCTCATAACTGTGCACATCAAACTCCCTAGTGATTGATGTTGCATATAGCTTTTTGGTCCCTGGCCGATATGGAAAGATGTTATTTTTATATGAGCATTTGGAAAAGGAAAAGAAAGAGAAGGTTCACAATAAGTACCTGGTGTGCCTAGAATAGATGAGGATGGCGTTGTAAAAGATTGAAATGAAAGTTTGGCAGTACCAAAATCAGCAATACGAGGCTCCATATCAGAATCCAGAAATATACTTTTTGGCGTGATGGCACAGTGCACTATGGGAGGATCACAATCATGATGGAGATATGCCGAACCTCGAGCAATGGCAATAGCTATCTTATAACAGACACCCCACTTCCTATTGATGTCAAGAACTCGTCGGAGTCTGTACTCACGTCTTCCACGCTCCAACTCTGAACTATATTTCGGTGCTTAGATGACCCTTGCATTTTTGCTTCTCTCTCTGCACTCAAGATACTGCCCAAGTTCCCAGCAAACATGACGTCTTTTACAGCAACGTCTGAATCAAAAGGTTCGTCAACTGTGAAATCAAAATAATAATAATTATACCTAATTTATTAAAATTAAAATAATTTTTTAAAAAATTAATTTATTTTTATTTCATTTCTAATTTATAATTATAATATAATAATTATTATAACTATATGTTATATGATAATTAATCATAATAAAAAAGAGACAAATGGGCGGTGAGCCTGACGTTGCAACTGAGGACTCTGGGCCAAGGAAAGGGTGAAGGCATGAAGCGAACCGCGGGCCAGGGAAGATACTTCTGTAAAATTTGATTTCCTCCCCAGAAGCTCTACGCTGCTGCGGAGCAAATTTGGAGAGAAAAATACATGGAACCCACACTATTTTTTCTTCTCATCTTTTTTCTTTTTTTTTTTTAAAATTAAAGACTGAGTTGTTTACAAAATAACAAATGAAATAACAAGACCTAGGGCCACTCATAGATACGTTTCAAATAAGTTGAAATAAAACTCCTCTCACATGCTTATCTCGTATTTCATAAATCATAATTGAAGAGCTACTTATAAACTATTCTAACCAAGGCCTTAGTTTCCTTTGTCAACCTCTCCCTCAACAATTAAAGATGATTGATCTAGAATACAAAAGTTATCCTCCACGAAATAAGAGAGTTTAACTAAGTGACTAGCAGTAGGGATAAACTCCCTAAGAGTATGAACTAGTACAACCATCCGATTCGTATAAAATAAGACTCTAGCATCATCGAACAAGGAAAAATCTGTTTTTCTATTCATTTTTTTTGAACACTAAATGTGGATACCCTCGAGGATTCGAACCTTGATTCATTATATTGTAACGGACTCAATTTCCATTTGTGATTTATAAAATGTTTTAATGGGTTAAAATATATTAAGCATCTTAAAATATCTTTTGAGGTGTATCCAAAACTTCAAAATAGTGCAGGGTGCCAATTTTGCCCCTAACATTTCTTTTTTGTTAAAAGATCAAAATGCATTAAAAATCATAAGTTTTAATATAAACAACCATAAGAGACCGGGCAAGATGAGAAGGGGGTTGAGTTGAAGAGAGAAGTGTCTTCTGCGGCAAAGAAATTAACAATTCTAAATTTCCTAAGAAGAAGAGCAATATCACTTGATATAGCTGAAGAATTGCCTGAAAGCCCCTAATAAAAATAAGTCTTCAAACAAAAGACTTGCAACCGAAGGTTCTGTGCCTCATCCGACAGAGAAGAACTAATGATCCATAAAAAAGCTCTGAAGAACAAAATCCAGAAATTGCTAGTGTCCGCATTGGGGACATTCTTCCAGATGAATTTTTGCAAAGATTGTCTTTTAAACCCAATCCAAGTTATGCATGTGGAAACTGGTTTTTCTTTCTTTTTAAACATGATGATTGCCCAGCCGTCTCCTGCCAAAAAAGGATAGTAGCCCATTTTCGATATATGATGGATTTGATCAGTTGTGCGCATATGCATGAAAGGCATATCATTGAACGAGGAAATGCCTTTAACTTACTCTATAACAGAACTCGGAGGCAATTTTTTTTGCCCCATAGGTTGCATCATTCCTGGGTTTCCATAGCATATTAATTAGAATAATGATCTGAAGAGCAGTTTGAACCAAACCATCCGATTTCAAATCTATGAGAACCCTTATTAACCATGTTGCAAAGTCCTGGAAAGACTAGCTGTCCAGTTTAATTGATAATGCTCCAAACCAGATTGCCTTGGTAAAAGGGCAAGAGAGAAAGAGATGTTCTAAAGATTCCTGAGTCTAGCACCCAAAAGCACATAGAGATGAGGTATTTAGATGATGTTTAACCAGTATATCACTACAGGGGATTGCCTCATGAAGAAGTTTCCAGATGAACAATAAACATTTAGGCGGTAATGAAAGAGACCAAAGAAACTGCCAAAATATCTCCGGCTGAGAGCTAGAATTCTCTGCAAAGTAAAAATTTAAACCCATCTTTGACAAGGTACTGACCAGAAGCATTTCCCTTCCATGTCAACTTATCGGGAGGACAGAGAAATGAGAGGGGAATGCTGAGTATCTTAAAAGCAAACGATGGAGGATAAACTTCAAGGATTAGCTTCTTATTCCATTAAACCGGTTGTATTCTGGAGGAAGAATGCTGAAAGAGATCTGCCACTGTTTGAGGTGGATGCACTGTAACAGACTCTAATCTGTCTAAAGTTTAAACTAGATCAATTTCACCACCTTAATCGAACACCCACCTGACGTCCGTTTGAAACCCACTCTCCCCCTCTCATCCTCCCTGAACCAGCCGAAACTTTAGCCCCTGCCTCTCCTCGCATCAGTCCCTCTCCATCTCCATTCGTGACCCGTCTTTCCCTTTTTTCAATTATGAGTGAGAATGGAATAATTAGGAGCAGCAACAAGAGCACCGAATGGGATATTACAGGAGGGTTTGGTACAGAGGGATTCCCTTAATGGATATGAGAAATCCCAGATAATGGTGAAACGATGACGGCGGCCGCAAGGACTTGGTATTACTGATGTCCTTTTGGAGCAAATGATGGTGGCGGTGGATGATTAGAGTTTGGCAGCAGAATGAGAGAAGAAGAAGAAGGTAGAAGTTGGAAAGTAATATCATGAATATTGGAGGAGATAAGGTCGAATGAGTAATGATTATGTTGATGAATTGCATTTAGGCATGGATGAGTTTGCGGAGTCCGAAGCTCTCTTCCAGAATTCCAAATCAATGCCGTCACCATTATGCTCCAATTTGAAGTAGTGAGGGCTGATTTGCAGTGACAAATTCAGCTATGCTGGGAATAGCTCCATCCAAATATATGCACACTTAACTTACACTTTACTTTATATCTTCCAGTGAGTCCACTGAAAATTTGGAATTGAGAGGGAGAGAGAGTGAAGAGCTTGGTCGACAGATTCGCAGGGACACAATGCGAGGAAGGAAAGGGCGAAGGTTTGAAGGTTTCAAACGGACAGTAGGTAGGCGTTAGGTTATGGCGACATTGAACCATTTTAAATATGTTAGGTGCAAAATTCAACCCCAAACTACGATATGCATCTAAAAAATATTTCAAATGTTTAATGTACCTTAATCCTATTTTAATTTGTGAATACACAATTTTAGGAAAATTAAATTAATTTTTTTTGTATTTAGACCCAAACATTTTCAAATCCTTACTTAAGATTAATGTAAGATGCACTAAGAGAAAACAATATATACCATTGGTAATAAAAAAATAATACATAAAAAGATGAGAAGGGAACCTTGATTAATAATGTATATAAATATACTATTATCAGCGGGGTTAAATCTAATAAAAAAGTTAGTCTCTCACAATGTGATGAATCAAGTTCAAATCTCCACTAGGAGAAGTGTCATTATTTAGTGCCAATAATACCTCAAATAATAATGTCTCTGATAAAAGAATATCTGTGCCTAAAAAAAATTGTACATGCTATTGGTATTTAGAGCTCCCGATCATCGCCTGTTAAGCCTGTGTCAAATTATTCTGTACTAGTGCTTAGAAATTGTTCCTCTAGACCCATAAGCTTCACCTATTACTTGTCCTTCTCATAGCTGAAGAAACTATTTTCCTTTGATCATACGAGTTTCTACTTTTTTTGTTAGAGGATATCTTCTGATTTGTCTTTCATGTTCTTCCAAGTTCTGACCAATGACTTTCGAATAGTCCTTAGTTGTTTTCTGGTCAAAAAAAGAATTGTCCTTAGTTGTTCATTGCTCTTGGATTTTTCTGGAAGACAGATTTAAATTGTTCTATGGTACCCAATACTTATGAAGGAGGTTAGACACTAGACGCTCATTGGCATCTCAAAGTTTATATGAACATACCTGAAATCAGAAAATAGATAATTAAAGAACGTAGCTAAGAAGTTTCATATGCTCTAAAAACTTTGATGAAAGAGTAATGTAATGTTCAAAATTAACCTCCTAATTTTGTACTCATTGATTATTTCTATTTTATTTTTACTTCATATATTTATATATATATATATATATATCCACAGACACATAATTTAAGAACAAGTTTATAATTCAGCAGGTAGGCGCCAAAAGCCATCATTGAGTTCGTGGGCATGCCAAATTTAACTAAAGATCAGGTTTTGAATCATCCTAGGGTGAGATTCCATTGTTATATATTAGATACTAACATGTTGTTTCAAGATTTTCTTTTCACCAGCCACATATTTTTATTACCCTCATAAGCAAAAAGACTATCTAAAGCAAAAACTAAATACCTCACAGATGATGCTTCCATGGAAGCCGCCAGCCTGATCAGTGAGAAGAGCATCCACTGGAGGAACAACAGCACTGTGTGTGCATAACTACCCTACCTTATGGTTCATGGAAGAGTTGGTTGCTTGCAATAAAGCCCTATCCTTTGTCCCTCTTTTCCCTAGTTATCATATCATTATTGAGATGGACTACTTCTCTCTCCTTGAAACTAATTGAAGAGCTAATTGAAGATTTAATTTGGTTCTAAATATAAAACTATGATCTACATTATCTCTCATATTTTTTTATTTTTCTCCAAAATAGTTCAAATGTTCAAAAAACCGGGCCGAACTGGCCAGTTCAGACCGGAAACCGGTGAACCGGCCACTTGTCCTGTCTGGTTCATGCTATGAACCGGGAAATTTTTGAACCGGTTCAAACCGTAGTGACTCAGTAATAACCCGGTCAACTCGCTGGGTTAGATGGGTTAACTGGGTCACTCTGTTTTAAAAAATAAAAACCAAAAATTAGAAGTTTGAGGAGAAAAAGAAAGAGGAGGAGGGTGGAAGAGACAGCGGCGAGAAGGAGGAAGAATGGAGAAAAAGGTAGGGAAGAGGAAAGCAACTTGCCAAACTTTTCTTGGAAGCATAGAGCGCATATGCTGGAGTGTTGATTTTGCAAGCATCATTGCTGCCATGTCCAGCCTGTTTCTGCTTAGGAGGAGGAGTTGAGGAGGAGAACAAAAGTATATTCAAACTTAAGAGAAAGATGAACGAGAACCGATGGAGAAAAATAAGTGAAGGGAAGAAAGGCATAAGTTCTGGAGTTCTAAGTCAAATCAAAACACTGCAGAGTTTTTTTTTTTTTAAAAAAAAGATATTGTATGGGCAGACTATTCGCTGAGGACTTGCAGGCTATGGCACAACTTTTTTCCTTCTTTTTCGTTCTTCAAAGCATAGATGTGATTTTTCATTCATCTCATCTTTATTTTTTTTAACCAGACATTTCTCCCATTAATCCATATATATATATATATATATATATCAATTATATATAAATAAATACTATAACTTTGAAGATAGTAGAGGGAAGGCTGGTTAAAAAGAAAATCAAGGAGAGCTACTTGGGTGTAATACATACTATTTAATAAAACATTCTTAATGTTATTACAACTAAATTATTATTATATTTCTTAATTTTTTGGTTGGCAGCAATTATTATTATTGTTGTATTTTTTTTATCTTTAATTAAATTGTATTATTTTAATATTACCGGTTTGATTCAAGTTGACCCCGGTCTGACTCACTAACCCTTGAACCACTACCTTAACCGGTTTAGTGTCCGGTCTGGTTTTTTATTCCTTACTTATAGCACATGTTAAAGGATTTCTATTATAATGTATATGATTAACGAAAGTATTTTAGGAAGAACAACACTTATTGATAGCACGTATTTATTACAAATAACTAACTTAACTAATTTTTTAATATTTACAAATTAATTATCTAGCTCTTATATTAAAAATTGAAGTTAGTATTTCACATTTTTTTCCTAAAGTATTCCCTTATGGCACATGTCAAAGGATTTCTATTATAAGTATATGATTAACAGAAGAATTTTAGGTTGGCAAAAAAAAAAAGAGTACTAGTATTTTAGAAAAAACAATACCTATTAACAATACATATTTATTACAAATAACTAATTTAACTAATTTTTTTAATATACACAAATTAATTATTTAGCTCTCATATTAAGAATTAAAGTTAGTATTTCACATAGGCCATTTCACAAATGCAATTGAAGATGTTTAGTACAAGCATAAGTCCAAAAAGAAAATCCATCTCAAAAAACTAATCTATTGGGTAAAGGAGTTTTTTAAACTTGTGAACCCAATTTTTTTGTCAGGTTACTCAATATGAGACTCATAAAAATATCATGGCCTTGTTAATAATCTTGTGCATTATCTTGGTAATGTCTGGACGTAAATTTTCGGCAAACTACTAAGCTCTTATATATGCCACCCTCCACTAACTAACGTGAAAAATATTCTGTGACCAACATAGAATTCTAGTCCTGCTTACAGTAATGTCTTTTTGCCCATGCTCCTCGTGAGGGTAATTTCGCAGCTGATCCTCATGTGTACCTTGTGGATCAGCAGAATGATATGAGGTTTATTGCATGAGAAGATACAGGAATAATCTGCTAAGTTTAACCTATTTTATCTCATATGTCCTTTATTTTTCTGTTTCTTTCTTCCATGTCAGCTTCTTGTACTCTTGTAGTTTTAACTAATACACTTCCTCAGTTTTCATGGCTAGAAAAAGGAATGAACAAGACTTCTGTTAGATTTCACAGATATAAACAAAATATGTTGTATGTACCACAATCAGGAAAGCAAATCAATTCAATGTTATATACAAAGCAATAGCAATTCAGTTCCTTTGTTCAGTTTACAAAGGCACCATAATGCATTACCCGTAAAGCCAATTCATTGCATGAAATATCAACAACAGCTATATGAGAAACAGGTTTATATAAGCAAATCATAAAGCTTCATATTTATACTCACAAAACCAGATTTATATACTAAACAACACTACAAATAGTCACAAAAGCCTATGTATCTTCTCTAAAATCAAAGAGCAACTCAGCTTTTCTTCCATTTAAAAAAAAACATACGTATTGAATTAGCTTAACCATCAACATTGATCAATAGCCTGGTAAGATGAAAAGGATCGGGGTTAAAAAAAAAAAAAAAACACAGAAACAATGCCGTACTAGGTGTTAATAAACATGTTTGAATTGCGAACACTTCGCATCCATAGAAAATTGCTAATGTAAAAGCTTCGTTGGGACTGTCTATGATTTTATCGAACAGAAAGAGAGAAACAATGGGTAGCGAACAAGCTGCAAACTTGAAGAGGCTAATGATGACCATTTAGGAAGGACACTTAAATTAAATAATGGTATAGAATAATTCGGGTCACAAAATGTGGAGACTGTCGTAAATCTTAGGAGACTCTAATTCCTCATAGGATTTTGAATTTTCTTAGGATTTGATACACTTTTGATGCACAATGTCAACGACATTGGTAACCCCACCAAAATTTGAGGCAACACCCTCTATTTGCCTTCAGCTACTCGCATTCTGAAATTGCTTACATGGCAAGTACTTGACATTTTCAGTTTCATCTGGGGGGAAAATTGAAACTATAAATCATATTTCGAAGCTGGAAGTGCCAAAACCATCAATGGGCATTTCCAATTGATAAACAAAACATCTGGGAATTTGCTGTGTAACTAGGGTACTTCACTACTTGAGAGAAGAAGAAACTAATATACTTCTGATTCTTATAATGCATAGATCAACTACGGATTAAGAAGCTGGAACTTGGAAGCTTTTTACTCCTTGTCCTTGGATTAGCATCTTCTAATAGCTTGATAACATCTCTCATCGTGGGTCTCACGCGTGGATCCTTCTCAGTGCATTTCAGAGCCACCAAAAGCACTTTGGTAGCTTGTTCAAGAACATTTGAATCCAGAAACTGCCCAGCAAGACTTGAATCAGCAATTTTATGAACATCTTCTGTTCCGTCCCACAGAGCTCTGACCCACACCACTACATCAACTCCCTCCATAAATGATGGATCCACTGCCTTCTTTCTGGTTATCAACTCAAGTAAAACTACCCCATAACTGTAAACATCAGATTCTCTATTGTTTGCTGTTGAATATGCATTCTCTGTCATAGGCCAGAGTAAATATGTTAGTTATCAGTACAGGATTTGTGCAAATAAAAGAACAAGCAGATTCATGATAGCAGTAGTAGAAGTACCTGGTGCAATATAACCTACTGTGCCACGGACAGACATAGATGATGCTGAAACAGAAGATTGATCCAAGAGCTTGGCGATACCAAAATCAGCAATGTGAGGCTCCATATCAGAATCTATGAGTATGTTTTTTGGTTTGATGTCACGATGTACTATGGGGGGATCACAATCATAATGGAGATAGGCCAATCCATGAGCAATGCCAATGGCTATCTTATATCGCACATTCCACTCTAAGGATGGCGGTGGACGCTTTTCATGCAAAACTTCATGAAGGCTTCCATTTGGCATGTAGGTGTACAAGATCAGACCAAAGTCTTTTCTCAACCAGAAGTCTTCCAATTTGACCAGATTTCGGTGCCTAATCTTTCCAGCGGTTTGAATTTCTCTAACCATGCTTTTGCTCTTGCCTTTGTTCCCAGAAAATGCAAGCTTCTTCACAGCAAAAACCTGGCCTGGATCTACTGAAGCTTTATAAACTACTCCATGCGCTCCTTTACCGATGATAAACCGGTCACTCAGGTTAGCAGTAGCCTCCATCACTTTGTTAAGAAGTGAGGAAGTGCCTTCTTTGTCAGAAATCTGGACTCCCTGCTTAGGTTTTCTGCCACAGACACACATATAGACTACTCCCAGCAGCAAAAGAACAAAAAATATTGACGATCCAAGTGCTATCATTGCTACTTGTACTTTACTAAGCCCTTTCTGGTTTGTCAATCTATCATCACATAGCTTTAGATGGCTGCTCTGATTGCAATCCGATCTGTTTGATGATAAACAACTGACACACAGGCCAGGATTCCCCAAAAATGAAGAAGGATCAGAATTAAGCAGCTTCATCAGCATCTTTGGTACAGGACCATCAAAGGAATTGTATGAAACATTGACTTTAAGTAATGAAGAAAGGTCAGCAAGAACTCGTATGCTTCCAGTCAAATTGTTCCCAGATAGATCCAGAGTTAGCAGATTTGATAATTTTCCCATCTCTGGAGGAATTTCACCAATCAGCCCATTAGCACTTAGATTCAACCCATAGCGCAGATTCTGCAACACCCCAAGTGATCCTGGAATTTTTCCTCCAAGCATATTTCCACCAAGCTGTAGCTCAGAGAGCTTGTTAAATTCTGACAAGAAATCCGGGATACCCCCATGGAAACGATTCTCTCTCAGAATTAACGTGGTTAGCACCATCCAGCTCCTCAAACTTGGTGGAAATGGACCGTTCAGGAAATTGGATCCCACATCAAAACTGTCCATTTTAGTACATTTTGACAGCTCATGTGGCAAAGGACCTTCTAGGTGGTTGTGAGCAAGATGCAGAGTCTTCAGGTTTGCAAGGTGACCTAGCTCTGGGGGTATATGCCCCTCCAAGTTGTTATTGGACAAAATTAAATCAGTGACATTTGAGCAGTTTCCCAAACTTGGTGGGATTGAGCCATTGATATTGTTTCCACTGATATCCATGAACGTGAGATTTGGATTATACTCAAAATCAGGTAAGGGCCCTGTAAAATTATTCTCCTTCAGAATCAACCTTTTGAGAGTTGTACACCTTCCTACATCTGGAGGTATGCTACCTTGAAGCTGGTTAAGGCCCAAATTCAGCAGAGTTAACTTCTTTCCAGAACAAAGATTCGGTGGGATGTTACCGGTGAACTTATTATCCGTGAAATCCAACTGTAATAAACGGCTTCTGATTCCCAAAGTTTGAGGTATGACTCCAGAGAAGTGGTTGTTAAACAATGAGATATTCTTAAGATGGTTGAGCTCTGTCATCTCCAAAGGTAGCTCCCCAGACAGGCTATTATTGTACACAAGGATATACTCAAGACTTTGAATCTTCCAGACACTTAGAGGAATTTCACCAGTCAAATGGTTGGAAAACAGTTCAAGATCCTGTAATTCACTCAACTCTCCCAGCTCACTCGGAATTTCTCCCTCAAGTTGATTGGAATACAAATGCAACTGTGTCAAAGACTTACAGTTGCCAATCTCCGGAGGAATTTTTCCGGACAAATGATTCACAGGAAGCCATAAAAGGGAAAGCTTGCGAAGCAGACCAATGGAGGATGGAATACTGCCAGTTAAGCCACTGCTAACCGCAGAAAATTCTGTTAAGCCACTACAATTTCCCAAGCTTGAAGGAATACCTCCACTGAATAAATTGTATGACAGATCCAATAAAAACAAATTTTTACAACTGCCAGAACCCAACGGAATAGTACCCCTAAGATCATTATTAGCAAAGCCCAGATAAACAATATCATGGAGATTGTTCAGTGTCTCTGGAAGAGTCCCTTGAATGTGATTCACATTCAAGAACAATTCCTGCAATTTACTGCAATTCCCAATTGAGGAAGGAATTTCACCAGACAACTGATTATTTTGCAGATACAGGATCAAAAGCTCGCTCATGTTCCCTATACCTGAAGGAAGTGGACCGTTGAGAGAGTTATTAGACATGTCAACATGTTGCAGGTGAGGGATTTGAGTGATAACTTCTGGGATTTGACCAGTGAGTTGGTTATAAGAAAGGTTGATATTCTTCAAATTCTTCAAGTTTTTGAAGGTCATAGGCATTTGTCCACTCAAGTGGTTTCCAGAAAGGTCTAAATACTCTAGCAGACTACAGTTCCCTAACTCAGGAGGAATTGTTCCAGAGAAAACATTATTCATCAATACAAAGCTCTTCAAGTGACTCAAAAGTCCAATCTCAGGCCCTACTTGACCCTCAATCCCATACTCAGTGAGGTTAAGGGAGATCACATTGTGGGCATGGTCGCAATGGATTCCAACCCAAGAGCAAGGAGTGGAATCTGAGAGATTCCAGGAGGACTTCACAGGATGAGGTACAGAAGTCCAGTGCCTCAAGAGTGACAATAGGGTCACCCCATCAGAGCTCAAAGCAGAAACAGAGCATAGCAAGGAAGACAAGCATAGAGGAAGAAGCACCCAGAGACGCATCATTGGCAAATAAGACAAGAGACCCGACAAGACACCAACCAAGGTTGGAACTTTGGAGGCTTACTTACGAGGAACAAAAAGCACGTACCTTGGTGCCTTGTAGCAGTTGTTTACAAGAACAAGTCCCCATGGGATTGACATTCTTCTGAACAATGAGCTTGAAACGGGGTTGAACTTCGGAAGAAAGGGAGAGGAGAAAAACGCGGTGAGGGCAGTGTGAAAAGAGGACAAGAGAGAAGAAGCTAGAATGGCTGTGTCAGAAGCTCGTTCATCATAAAATAGAATCATGAGAGCGATTCATTTATTGCATCGATGTGCTGCTCTACCGCCCCGCTGCCTCCTGCCCGAGCGGTGATATATATACGCACGCACACAGAGTCACACACAATTGTACACACGCGTGGAGAGAGATACATGCAGGTCAAAAAAAAAGGTCTTTCTATATTATTCCGGTCAAAAAAAAAAAAAGTCTTTCTATATTAATTACTAGACCGATTTTTAATATAAAATTTATTTAACTAATTTAATTGAATTAAAAAATTTAAGTGAGTTAGTTAATTATAAAAAATATAATATATTTTTCTTAAAATACCATAATTATTTTTCTTACTATCTTCTATCTTTCACTTACTTGATTATAGTTGAGAAAATATCCATATATATAATTTAGAAAATTTTGATAAATATGAGAAATAGGTATTATATTTAGATCAAAATTAACTTAACAGTTAGGTCATATATTAAGAACGAAAGGAATGTTAAATTACTCAGTGTTCTATTCATAACAAACTTTTAACATATGTAAATAAAAAAAAATAAAACTAGATTAACTCTAATTAAAATATAATAACTTTTTAATTTTATTCATATTTAATATATATACCTTAAAAAATAATGTTTAATACAAACGCTTGGCAGTGGCAGTTGGCTGGTGTGAAACCCGAATGGAGTCCACATGTAATGTTTTAATTAATGTTATCCCCTGCTTTTGCCGCGTTTGGTTTGGGACGCTTCCATAAATAAGCAAACAATTCTTTTGTTTGTCAACAAACCATTCTTTTGTTTGCAGAAAACAAGCGTCAACTCCAGAAATGAAGAAAAAATACAGAACAAGAGCGCGAAGGCTAAGTGGAATCTTCTGTTTTTGACTGAAAGAAAAGAAGTCTCAAGCTTGAGTTCAAACGACTTTAGAATCTCGGCGTGTATTTGTCGATGTTTCGTCTTGGAGGGAGGGATTTAGTTAAGATTCCAGTGTCTTATTTTACAAATTCCAGCCAAAAGAATATTATAATCCTAAATAAATACTCCTCCGGTTTTAATATAAAATCTATTTTATAGTATAATTTACATTACTAAACAGTCTTCTATTTAGAACTACAGGAGTATAATAATAACTTAACATAAAACTTAGTAGGCTATCACTAAAAAATTGTTAATAATTTTTATTTTAGAAATAATTATAATTTTGAAAGTTTTATTTTAAATTTTTTAAATTTTAAGGCTTTAAAAATTGTTGGAAAATGACTGTACATAAATAATAAAAGCTACTTTGTTTACATATGATAAACAATTAGTATTTCCTTTCACATTCACTGACCATTTACCAAGATTTCATAGATAATTGGAGTTGGTATTGATTGATTATTCTTATATGTTAATCAAATATATTTCCTCCGATCTACAGTTATAAGTTATGAATAGAAAGGGCTATCAAATTTCACATTTAAACAAAAGGTCACATCATTGATCATTCTGGCAAATTCATGTAATGTTAACTTAAAGTATTTCATGAAAATGCAGGTTAATACTCTCTCTAATCTTTAATGGGATTTAAATAAACCAAATTACGTAAATATAAAATTAGTTAAAATTAATTGAAGATAATGATATGTAAAGTGCAACATGTTTTTTGAAAATACCCTTATAAAGTGGGTGAGACTGAATGAATGAGACTAACCAATAATCAATGCAGTGATATTACTGAGTACGAATAAATAGCTAATGAGAGAGAAAAAAAAGTTAAAAATGGTTTTTTTTCTATTTTTTAAATAAAGGGACAATATTATTCAACCCAAGTAAAAAAATTACTTAAAAATGAAAAATGACTTTTCCGCTGTGAGGAAGAAAAACGCAATGTGGCCATGTGGGCAATGTGAAGGGTAGAAAAGAGGAGAGGCTAGCTGTGACCTGTGAGGAAAGAAAAAGCAACGAGAGCAGTGTGAATGAATGGCCAAGTCTTTGCGTATTAATTACTCCCTCCCATTTGTTTCATATTATTCAAATAACAAAATTGAGAAATTTCTCTTGTAACTTTAGTTAAAAATAATAAATATATAAGAAATATATTTTTTTAAAAAAATATGACCCCATTTATAAGAGAGTAAGGGTTGGTTTGGTATGAGAAAAATGGAAGGAAAGGAAAGAGGGAGGAATTTTAATGAATTCAATTTAAAAAATTAGAAAAATGGGTTTAAAAGATTTTAACCCCGCTTCTTCAATTTTTTAAATTGAGTTCATTAGAAAAAGTTTTCCTCTCTTCCCTCCATTTCCCTTGCACCAAAGAGTATCTAAGTGAGAAAAAGAAATAGTGAGGAAAAAAAATAAAAGAGAATGTATGACTGTATGAGGAAAAAAGATAATGCAGTTAATTAACTGTAAAATTAGTAAGAATACATTTACTATTTGGACAATTCCAAACTAAGGCTTACAAAAAAAGGACTAATTAAAAATTTTGAATATTATGAAAAGAATGGGAGGATTTGGAATAGCAATTGGAGAATAAAAATTATTTTTTTAATTATAATTTATTCAATACAAAATAAGTATATAAAAAATTTGTTTTAACAGGAAAGTGTATAAATGCTTATATAAATAAGTACAAAATATACACAACTTTTAGCAGGTTTGGGAGTGTAACATCCAAAAATATATATATTTAGATTTTAGTTTATTAAAATGAGATTAATTAATTATCATTGAAGCTAATCTTAATTACGGGTAGACTACTAATTAATAAATAATAGTTAAATAATAATTAATATATATAAATATAATATATAAATATATATAATATATATATATATTGATAGTGGGTGGCACGCGGCCACCCACTTTGTTTTGGGGGAGGGGAGTTGATCCCCTGTGGGCCGTGACCCACCTTTTATTAAAAACAAAAAAACAAAGAAACAAAACAAGCTAAGGATTTGAGCAAGGGGGGTCACGTGACCCATTATATTTGAATCATTGTTTCCCCTTCTTCCGCCTCCCGTCCTGTAGCCTCTCCTTGCTGCTTCGCATTCGTGTTCCTGGTCAGCCATCCCGCCGCGTGAGAGAGTGAGAGTGAGAGGTTGAGGGTGTGAGCAAGAAGAGATTCTTTGGTCTCCTCTAAATTATTTAGATAAGCTATTTTCTTCCTACTTTTTCTATTTATTTTTAAGTTTATGGCAGAAAATAAGATGTGTTAGGGTTTGATAGATTTTTAATGATTTGAGGCTTCTAACTTATTATGATGATATTAATGGAGCTTATGGGGTTAAAATAGAAGCCTTATGACTTAGATTTTTAGTTGATGGTTGATTTGAGGCAATGTGAGTTAGGGATTGGTTGGGAAATTGTGATTTGTATTAATGATGATATTAATTTCGAAATTTATCTCTTAGTTGAGTTCACTTGAGGTTATATTGAGGATCCAATGCTTAAACTTTGAGGATTGTTATTGAAATAGTAATGTTGATGATTCTTGGAGAGACTTTAATTAGTGGAAGTTGGGGTTTGGGAGGAAATTGAGGAAAATATTATAAGTTATTGATTCTAATGAATGGGAAATGATTAATAGAAGAAGGGAATAGGATTTTAATAATGATTGAAGGCATAGTTAATATATGGTTATTTTTCTAAGAGTTAAAGTAAGCACTTTTTGGAGATTTTTGGATGATTTGAAGGAAATATTCTTATTAATGATGTGAATGAGAGAAATAGAGTTGGGAAGTATTAGGAATTGTCACTTGGAGGAATAGATGAATTATTATTTTTCCTAAAGATAATTTTTTTTAAGGTAAGCCAATTATGGGGATTTAGTTAATAAATTATTCTAATGCTATATTAATTAGTCTTTTTATATTAATATATGTTTATTAATTTATTATTGTAGAGTGAGCTTGGTTTGGGCTCTTGGGTTTGAATCCTCCTACTCTAAGTTCTTGTGTCAAGAACTTGAGGTAACCACTTTCTAATTTACCTTGTATGCTTGTTGATGTGATTATAAGCATGTGTTGATATTAGAAATGTTCTCAATATGTGTTATGGTGGTTTTTGTATGAAAAGTAAATTATATATCTATATCAAGATTTATGTTTTGATAAATTTATTAGTTAAGTGGGCATGAATTATTTCATCTTATGAATATCTTGTTGATGATGAATAAATTTGATTATTGAATATGAGAATACTTTATGGATATGAAATTGTGTGGAATTGGATGGTTGGATTGGGCTGTGTTGGTTGTGCTGAAATGTAGTTGTGGGAGGTCTGATTATTTATACCACGTGGTATAGCCGCCACTTGGCACCCAATGGTTGGCATTAACATTCTTAGGGCCCTCGGTATCACCCTTCCTTTAGCCGAGTCGAGGGTCAGCCCAAGGGACATGACACCTTTCCATATTCCAAGGAAAGGGAACCCATGGTCCGATATGAGCTCTGTAACTTTTGGCCGAGTTACACCTCATTATTGGAGAGCTTGGTGCAGTCTTGTAAAATAGATGAATCGTGTTATGTGTGAATAGCCTATGGGTTCTGTCAGAGGTTACAAGGAGGTTATAAGGATGGTTGATGAAGTTCTATGCATGCCAGTTACTTTGTGAATTATTATATATTGTTTTCTGTAAAGATGTTTAACTTATATATTATTTGAATTGTACTTTGCCCGCTTAGCTATTTTGTAATCACTCCCTGGATACTTGTTGAATTGGAATTGTGGTTACTGGGTCAATTTGACTCACCCCATGGTTATTTAACATTTTTCAGGCGAGGGTTCAGGTATTGGTCCCAAGGGGAAGGTGTCCGAGGCTTGAGTTTTCCTTTCAACTCTGTATAGCCTCTATTTTGTTATACATGATTTGACTGATGTATATTGCCAAACTTTAGGGCCTTTTTGTTATACTTAGCATGCGTTTGATTTTCCGCTGCATTCT